TCAAAGACATCCTCACAGTGGTGGGTGAGGGAGAGGTACAGAAGTGACGGATCATGATTGAAATCAATATGTGTCGGTTTCGTGATACATTGTAGATTGTACACTGAATAACGGTAGATAAAAGGTCGCTATCGAAACCATTACCTGGAGCTGTAAGCTCTATCCAGTTGATATGCGGTGCGTTGAAGTCCCCAATGATGAGACAACATTCTGCCATACTCCAAGAACAGATGTGTCTTAGGATAAAGTCGTCAGCAAGACAAGACGGACTACGGTATATTCCCCCTACAGTCACTAACCCATTTCTAGATTTAATCTTACAACATGCAACCTCACATGTGCCACTGATATGAGCCTCCGATATGGTTGATTGTATGCGAAAGAGATCCTCAACGTGTAACATTATACCTCCCCCTTTGCAACTTGAAACTCTATCACTTCTAATATAGATATAGCCTGCAATGATGGGAGAACAGTCTGTATCTACGGTGAACCAAGTTTCTGTAACAACAATTATATCAGGACTTAATTCATCCACCATCAGACTTAGCTTGGAAGTTTTATTTCTAAGACTACGAGCGTTCGTGTAGCACACACTTAAGGTGTTTTGGCAATCAATCGTTCTACTCATACAGGCCTCAGAAGCATTGGCTTCCAAGACCTGACTACCCGAAAACCCTTAATGATAAGGTTATTTTCACCATTTAATTTGCTAGTCCTCAACTCCATAAGAGCATTCTTCCACTTGATTCAATCCTCGAGCGGCCAATCTGGTCGAATACGGAAATTTGAGTCACGAGTTTTTAGTGCGTTTTCCAATAATATGTCTCTTTCTTCAAAACTTCCGAGAACCAGCTTCGGGATTCTTCTTGGTTGGGTCTCGCCTCCAACCCATTTACCAAATCGTATTACTTTTGTATTATGTACCCCTAAAACCTCTTCAGGTAGTACATTCCCTACCACAGACTCCACTAACTGCAGGTCATGTGCATGTCTTCTAGGGAGGGGTTTAGCTTCCTTTGAAACTGTGTTCACAGCTTTCGACCGTGACGTTAGATCCTGTATTTCAACTACTGGTATCTTACGATTAGTTTTTATTGCAACAGGGTCCTGGGAGTCGAGCGAGTGACTCACAACAATGTTAGACGAAACTTTACTATGGGACTTTGGCGGATTGGTCTGAGAGTCCACCAAGGACTTAGCAAGTAAACGGTCATTAGTTTTAGCTGTCTTTCCTACTATTCTGCGTTTTCGCGTCAGCCATTTTCTATCAATCGAAACGTCTACATTAGAAAAACTCGGGACAGTAATCGCCTTATCTGGGTCACTAGTCGCAGCTGTAGCAATATGGCCACCAACGTCTAGTGAGTTGTCACTCACTAATCGTTTCGGGGGAGAATGTTTAACTGCGGGTTGAACAAGTAGATGTCTGGCTTGCGCTGTGACAGTACTTACGACACTAACGCAATCTTCGCCATCAGTACCAATTTTACCAGTACGGCCCTCATCAACCTTCTTATTAGCCGACATCAGGAGGCTAACTGCTTCCCGGATGAGTAATGTTTTGCTCGAGCAACAAAAACTACGAAGCCAATGAGAGTTGGGCTTTGAGCACTTTTATATGCAGTGGGGCTTAATCGGGTGTACATCTTATGAAACCACTTATTACACTCATCACATTGCATCCCTTCCTCCACGGAAAATAAGCAGTATGGTTGGCCACATTTATGAGCAGATCTAGCCATCTTGAAAATCAACTAGAACGGTGACAAAAACAGGATATGTAAAAGGATTCTCAAACCTTAACTAAATAAATCAAGTAAAAGTCGACCAGGTATGCTTCGATGAAATAGATACACAAAAGCAAAATCGAAACTTTAATACAATATCACTTTAACTGGGGTAGATGCAATTAAAGTGTAAACAGTAGTTTTGATGCGTAATTTACGGTCAAAACGGTTAACTAACTCAACGAGCAACAATACCATTGTCCTTTTTAAATAGAGCTGAAATATATACATTGTTTCTGGCACAGTGTTCTCCCTCTTCATGTATTCACTGATCCTGATCTGTATTCTGTTGTTTTCGATCTCTCCGGGTTCCAAATAGGCGACGACAACACGTGTGGTGAGACTACAATTTATGGTTGGTTTTTAGAGATGCTGAGGTGATCGTGAGAATGGGCAACCACTGATTAATACTAAATGAGGGTTAGAACCCAGTTAAAATTATGATTTACAGTTGATGATTGGGCTAAAAATTGGGTTTAGGGTTTTCATCACGAACTGACATCAGCCATAATGCCGGAACGCTATTTAGCCAAATGTATGAATGCATTTCGCACCAAAATTTAGTACTCGTTATCTTATATCTGATTGGTTCGTCCATAAATTTTGTCAGCAAAACTAAGCTAAGGTATCCCACCAATAATTCGCGTTGGAACTTTAAACGGCTGAATGTGCCAGCTCTACATGACTATCTACAACAGGTGGTTTGGGATGTTCACCCTCAACTAGATGTGGACGGTCATTGGGAGTTCTTACTGCACGCTCTTATGTGCTACAAACCATTCAGTTCCTCAAACGGTTCCCAAAAGCTGTAAGCCACCTACAGTAATCAAGAACCGTATCCTTCGCCTGCTAGGCTGCAAAAGGCACTGTAGGGCGGAATACAAACGAACTGATAACGACGGAGCGTATAGGCAATATAAACATATAAGGAACATATGCACGAAGGCTATAAGAGAAGACAGGCTTCAGTACCAGACAAAGCTTATGGACAAATTCGCTTCTAACCCTAGAAGCATATTCCGTTATGCAGCCTCTCTTCGTCAAGCCAAAACAAGAGTTTCTCAATTGCTAGGCCTTAACGGCCCGACCAACAACGATGTCGATGCCACTAACCTTCTGGCGGCACATTACTCTCAGACATTTCAACCGGTCGACATCAACATTACTGACGGCAGTTTCCCCTGCAATTCCACAGGACTTTCCGAAGTGTACTTAAGCGCTGACTTGGTGTTCCGGAAATTGCAGCACTTAAGACTAGATACTTCTCCTGGCCCGGATATGGTTCATTCTACCATAGTGATGGAAGCAGCTCCAATCCTGGTAACGCCGCTTAGAGTGATGTTCTCACAGTCGCTAAGCCGAGGCAAATTACCGAAAAATTGGAAGTTGGCTCACATCACACCAATTTTCAAAGGAGTTCGACGCAATGAACCTTCAAGTTATCGGCCGGTGGCTCTTCCGTCATTACCTTCAAAACTCATGGAGTCCCTGATATGCGACGGTTTAAACGACTATCTACTGTCCTTAAATTTCTTCTCACCCCAAGAGCATGGTTTCAGGAAGGGTTACTCTTGTATAACCAACCTGCTGACTGCGGTGGACAGATGGACAAGCATCCTCGATTGCAAGGGAAAGGTTGATATCATTTACGTTGATTTCTCAAAAGCTTTTGATAAGGTTAACCACTTGTGTCTTATCAATAAGCTCAAACGACTAGGTATCAAACCACCTCTAATCGATTGGCTTACTTCATACCTAAAAAATCGACACTTTAAGGTTAGGGTTAATTTCACTTTATCTCAGGCTATGGAATGTCCTAGTGGGGTCTCCCAGGGCTCAGTACTAGGGCCTCTTCTCTTCTTGATCTACATAAACGATCTTCCTCAACAGGTAACGTCAGACGTATTACTTTTTGCCGACGACGTGAAACTTTGGAGAGAGATACGCAACCAACACGATATACAGGCACTTCAGGAGGATCTGACTGGACTTCAAAGTTGGGCAGACGATAACGGACTTACCTTTAACACTTCAAAGTGTGAAGTAGTCCATCTGTGACATGTCGCAAACTACAGTTACGACTTAGGAAACTCCTCTCGAGTAGTATCCCAAGTGGAAAAAGATTTAGGAGTCCTGGTGCCCCATGATTTAAAGTCTTACGCTAACTGTGACAAAAATGCCTTCCGAGCAAACCTTGCACTGGTAATGTTGAAGCGCATTTTTGGACAGTTTGACGGACGAACTTTCCATACAATCTTCAATAGTTTCATCTGTCCCCATTTAGAGTACGGAAACATAGTACTCCCCCCTCACTCCAAAAGGACAAGGTCACTTTGGAGCGTATCCAACGGCGAGCCACGAAATCAGTTCGAGGACTCAAATCTAAACCTTACGGAGAGCGCCTCCATTCACTAGACATTTACCCATTAGAGTATAGGCGTCTTAGAGGTGATCTTCTGATGGCTTATAGCATTCTTAACACTTCTGGACATCCTCTTAAACACCTACTTAAGCTTAGTTCGAATAATAACCTAAGGGGTAACACGCAGAAACTGGAGACACAACATAGCAAAACGGAATGTAGACATAACTTCTACTCCTTAAGAGTTGTCAAAAGCTGGAATTCGCTGCCGGCCGGGCTAGTCCAAGCGACTTCTCAGGAGTCCTTCAAGAGGCAACTTGACCTATTCTTAAGGACCAAGGACAGCATCACACTATGATTTACCAATTTCTTTTCCTCTTTTATTGTTAACATACCTAGGTTTCTGCCTGGAGGATTTGGTGATCCCCTGCTACTAGACACGGAAGCCTGTTAAGAGAAAGCTTCTTCTATTCCATCCACAACCATTTGAAACTATTGTTTCGCCCCACGACCTTTTAAACATTGATGTCGAAGGCGAATTCGCCATATTCCAGAGAATAATCAAAATCTAATTGTTTATTCTGGAAGCTGTAACAAATGCTATATAGCACACGCAGTGACTGAAAATTTGTTAACAACGACCCGTTGTCATTTATTTAAAGTTGTACTAAATGGCTCACTGTAATTCCAACTATCAATTAATTGGCCGTTTAAATGATAATTTACTTGCTCGTGTTCTGTATATTCACTCAATTTTTCAACTATTTTTTTAATCTACCACTGGCACTCTAAACACAGTCACCTTGATAAAAATACCGTCTTTTGAGTCCGGAGGTAACTGACTGGTGGTGTTGTTTGTTTGCTATCTGTGCACTAATTGAATGTCATAGTCTTGCAGTACATGTAGTCCTACCAGTAGGGATGCAGTCAATTAACTTTTTGTTGAAAACAAAACTGCCTATCTAACTTACCATGAATTTCCTGGTGTAAATGAAAGGGTGTCCACCCGAGCTCTCAATTTTGGGGAAAATTTGACCCATTTTGGGGAAGCCTCCATAATAAACTTTGGGGAAATGGCACAAACGCCCCAGATTTCCACAGACTTGGGACGTACTTGCAAGTACGTCTAGTTTCCTTCATAGGAATTCATTTTTCTTGTCTTCCGAAACAGAGAATTTACGAGGACACTCCAAAAAAGTTCATAAGCCGAGAACAAATTACTTGTCAGCTGACTATCGACTTTCCCATCGAATCATCAACGAGTGGAATTCACTACCTCAGCACGTGGTTGAGGCTCCATCCGTCGACTCTTTCAAAAGAAAGTTGGATCAACTGAGAGACCATCAGTGCCAGGACTAACATAGGCCACCGAGCCTCCTGTCCTTCCCAAACTGTAACTGTATCTGGAGCGGTTAACCACATCAGATACTAATATTGACATAAAATGTTTTTGATGGAAATTCAAAATGCTAATGGGTCCTTGAGGATTATTTTCATCTGAGCGCATAGTATTATTTACCTGAGCACAAGTTTCTTTTATAGTCTAGATAGCTTGTACTCTTTTCAGTGAATGATCAGTTACAAAATGCTGATATAATTGTTTTTTATTTCTATGCGGTACAGATCAAGTATGGTCCGATATTGGAAGCATCGTGGTGCGAAAATACTCAAAAACATAGAACCGCATATCCAGAAATATTTTCCTTATCACAAGCCTGAGCTTGGTGGTACTTCCCCTCAGCATGCTAGTATAACGGGGAAAAAAGCAAAAGTACCTTTCGATTATGCGATTGGGCAGATAGTGCCGTTTTCACAAAGCTTAACATCATCATTCCCAAATATTGTTAAGGTCCGCTTGCACAAGCTCTGCTTGAATCGTTTCCTGATGAAGGTAATTTGCTATCGTCATGTTATCGATTTATAAATGCGACCTACAGTATTTTTATCAAACAGCAACATACTGGGTTCATACACAAGGCTCTTCGGTCAACATTGGAGATATCGTGCTTATTGAAAAGGCTGACCCACCAATGGCATTCAATACCATGTACAAACTAAAGAAAGTCGAGTTCCCGGTTGGTAATCTGATTGATCCTGTCACAGGACTACAATCCGAAGGTCCCGAGTATTCCATTGAAGCACTGAGGTCTATTCTGAATCAAGAGAACAATACATTGAAAAGTGTTGAAAACTAAATGCATTTCTACTTTATTTTGAGATAAATATTTGCTTTTTTTCAATATAGGGTTAAAGTGTAGCAACGTATTGACTCTTATTAAAATACAACACTCCTTATGTTTTAGTAGTATATTTTTACAGAAATAGTGGCAAGAGGCTCATGACCATCCATTAGAGAATATAATTAGTTTTGTTTTATCGTGTAGGCAGGAATTAAACCAAAATATTAAAAGTCGAATAATCTCATAATCTCTTGATGTTCATTTCATACTGATAGCCTTTTACCTGGTTTTTTATATATTGTCAAAGTGTTTGTGTTTATTCTTGTTTTTATCTGTCTTACAAACACTAAACACTTTGCGACCCTAATTTTCATACTCAGTTGTTTAACAGTAATCTGGACTTTCCTGCTGTATTTTATTTATGAGTCTATTAGGTACAGTATGGCAAAAGTTACGCACTTAACAATGCTGTTAGGGTAAGAACTTATAAGAATAAATTTTGGTAGTTATTTGCATGTTATTCAAGCGACTTCAGAAAACTATTTGTTGACTCTTAGTTCTATGGTACTTTTGATGCAGCTCCTCCCTAATAATAAGTTTAAAATTAATGCTTATCACCGATACCCACTTCCATGCTTTTACAGTATGGCTCTTCATACTTAATATTACTTAGGCACCATCCTCAAGGACTGATGTGGTTAGCTTGAAGCAAGCCGACAATTTTTTCACTTATTGCGGTTTTAACATTCGGCAGAAACTCCATGTTGACTTACCACACAAAGCTATGATGTCCTAAGCGATGATTTGAAATTATATCAATACCTGTATTAGGTCAACTCACTGCAGGAGCCTGTTTGGAGTACACAATCTGTAAAGACACTATTAACGACTGCTTAAATTAGAAACAGATATCAGTTACTCCAACTCGGTGTTCTTATTGACATTTTCGAATGTCATGAAAGCGTTCAGCTTGTATTAACAAATTCGAATTCCTAATACTACTGCAACGGTAGTCACAAAAACATTGACAAGTGGTAAAAAGAGTATTAGTAGTATGTGCAGGGAGTCTTTTAAGAAAGTTCCTTTGATAAACTTCGAAAGTGTAATAAGAAGACAAAGATTATTAGAGCTATGTGATATATTAGCGCGACACTTCAAACAATCAGATCACACATATACTTGTTAAGAATATTAGTATATAAAAATAGAAAGTCAGCTAGACAAGAAATAGAGGGTAAGAGAAGACAAGGATAATAAGGAAATGATGTGAAGACAATTTGAAACCTCAGCACTCTGGATAATAAGCTAATACTACCAGGGTAGGTTTGAGGTGAGAACAAGCCACTTTTGAATACGTAAAGGATGTTAGAAGTATATCTAGGAAGGGAAGCTGGCCGTTCTTCTCTTATTTGCATGAGACTGATGTGATTTCGGAGTGTTAAGTTTATTCAATAAACAGTTCATATCCTTTCACAGATATAGGGATGGTTATCGGCATCCGACAGTGGTGGTCTTTCCTGACTTAAAAGCAGCATTTGACTCTATAGGCCGAGAGGTTCTGTGGCAGTGTCAATCATTGAAAGTGTGCCTCAGAAATACATAGACCTTGTGAAGGCTCTTTACTTCAACACTACCCGTTGAGTCAGAGCTTATCGAGAACTGTCATCTGATTTTGCGACCCCACGTGGTGTCCAACAAGACTGTCCACTATCTCCCTTTCTGTTTAATTTCATCATAGACCTACAGCTGGAAATCACGTTCTCATCGACTGGATTTTTAGGAATCAGTTTTCTAGGACGTCCACTAATCAGATGACATAGTCCTATTTGTTGAAGACACTGATAAATGCAGTCTTTTGGTAGCAGTAAGCAAGTTGTTGCTTCATGACCGGCCTGCGTCAACACATGAACTAAGGATAGGGAGTGAAGCAGTCGAATGCGCCGACAACTAACCTTGAAAGTCTGATAAGCCCTAATGGGTTGGTATCTGACAAAATCTCTCCACGGATTCAGAAGGCTCGTTTGGCTTTTGCCAACTTACATGAGAAAGCGAGATATCTGTCTATCAATAAAAGGACGAGCATACTGCGCCGCAGTTCGGTCTGTTTTACTTTACGGTTGGGAACTGTGGTCATTAACGGTAGAGGATGCTCGTAAGTTACTAGTACTTGATCAGAAATGTTTTGGAAATACTGCTCGCATCTGCTGGGACCACCGGGTAAGTAAAAATGAGGTTAGACACAGGGTATTATGGTTAATCAGCTGATGAGGTTGTGAATCTTCATCGACTGAGATGGTTGGGCCACATCTCATGTATTACCACGACACACAATGTTGGCCAGTGTTGGAGACGGATGAAAACAAGTTAGGGGCAGCCAAACCGAAATGTGGCACCAGTCCATAAAGTCACCAACTCTTGGTGTGAGCCATGTTGGTAGATGCAGACTACTTGGTTGGGTTCCGCGCGACTATCGTAACCAATAGTTGGAGACTTTGAGTGACAATGGCATAGGTGTATGTAATCTCTGTCTTCCCTTAAACCGTGAAATTAAAATTATATCTTTCTACGAACTAATTCTTTCTTTTCGTATTATATTCTTATATGCAACCTTTCTTCCATATATTACTACCACTGAAGTAACTACTTCTATGAATTTGATGTTCATCGTGTTGTGCTAATGAGGTATGGCAAATTGGACCGATGCATATATGTGCCTGGTCCTACGTTGTAGCTGACTGACTGATAAGGAGGGAAGTGTACATAATTTCCCCCTAAATTCATCACAATAAACTAACCGATAAACTTTTGAAGCGTTCATGCAACTTTGAAAACTGAACATCCAAACCGAGATGAAGGGGTCAGTAAAGTTATACGAAAGAGTTAGAATCCCAATAATCTCAATGCACCCAAGCCTTTTTACTTGTGTTGTGAGGTCGCGATACGTAACTTCTGACCTACAAGACAGTATCAAAACAAGTAAGAGGGTTAGTAATATACTAGAAGTTTTACAGCGGTGACGAGGTTGTAGATACAGATTATTCAGCTTTTAAAATACGTGGCTTGATAGATGTCAATGGACTTCGAACCAAAACAACATTGTGACATTTCGTCTATAGTCAGAAACTGGATAAATTCACTCGCAGCACCTCAATCTCTGTTCGAAATAGATGTAAGAGATGACATGACTGGGGTAATACGAATGAAGAATTATTAAATTCGAAACAGTATTTATTGAAAACAGACTCTTCGATAGACGTCTGAATAACTAAGTTTCTGATTGATTGTAGAGGATAAGGGACACAATAAATTAAAAAGATTTTAAAACCTTAGAAATTTCATTCCGCCTTTCGATGCTTGTCTTTATAGATACAAGCCTTTTTGATAGTTCCATCCCTAGCTTATTAAACTGGACCGTAAAATTTCGGTACGAATAGCTGTTTATCAACCCAAATCCAACAGAGGAAGCAATTTAATAAAGGCACTAACGGATAACTAATAGAAGGGATTTACTTGATAAGAAATGTAACGATATTTGCTTGCTTTGTTCCGGAAAAACGATTTTGAATTAGTATTTGTTAGACTGCCAGCAAGCGTCTGAAAGACGAGGTCCGTAGTTCAAAGTAACGATGTCATTTGATACATGAGAATAACTCATAGATTATAGAGATGAGAACAAAGGAACACATTATTCAAAGTGCAGTCGAGTGGTCAGATCTGTTAACTTCTTCCTAAATGCAAAGTTTTTGCAGGAATCGGACTGTTTCTACCTTTTAGAAGTATGAAATTCATGTATGAACTTAATAAGTACGTTATGAAATAATGAACCAGTAAACACAAAGAATTCGCCATAAACATAATATTACTAACGAAAATTATGTTTTACAACATGTGTACGACGGTCTATAAGATTACCACCAGCGTGAGTAGTTGTGTGACACAATGCAAATAATAAACTGAAGAGTTTGGTGGATGGATATGCTGATACAAGCAATATAAATATTCATAAACAGACCGGTCTTAGACAAGATGATTGTTACTTGTAGAAGTAGGAGTCCGATGAAAACACAATGTTCTGCGGGTCCGACTGCAACTGTTTTGATTTTAACTGTTTATTAATTGCACATACAGAATCCGTGGCTAGTATTCTGACACGGTGCAAATAAGATTATTTCCAAATCAAAAGTGCTTCGAAATCCATCACTCCAGTAATAAGTGGTTCGCTTCAGTACTAACCTTCCACTTATTTAGATGTAATCGCTTCATTGGACCGGCACAAACGATCCCTTGATATCAGTCTGACAAACGAATCGCGGTTAGCAGTCATTTACTAAAAGAATTGCTGATTTTATGAGGACTTATATGTGTCATGTAAATGCCATAAAGTTAAAATTTGTGTAGATTTAACCTTATATACGAACTGTACATTTAAAAAATCTTCGATTCAGTGGTCAAGACATTAAGGTCTTCAGTCCTAATTAAATTCATAATACAAAGGTCTATATTACGAAGTGATTTACTAGTCAAATTCAATACTTCGTGCAATTTTTTAAAAATGGCTCTGTAAAATGTATGCACGCACTTAATAAAAAAAAGTTATTTGCTGATACATAATTCCTTAATAGCTGCCCATCTAACAGAGGTCAACAGACAGTCTTTCAGAATAGAAATATACTGTATATTGTTTCTTACGCTTCAATAATAAACTAAGTAGAGCCTAGCCCATCAAATTAATGACACTGATTACTAATTGTGACCTTCCTATCCTATTTAGACATTGTATAGTATTGAGAGTTCCTCAGTAAATTGAACATGTGTAACGTTCAAAGACGTCCAAGAACGTCGAGCAAATGAAACAAGCCGTTTCCAACCCTTTGTTAACTTTCAACGGCTGCAATCCACAAATCGCTTCGAAATCGACCTTCTAGACCTGAAGCACAATTATCTTCAAATAATTAACGTCCGTTTCCACAAAGTTGACAGATAGAAGAATTCACCGAACGGTGGGGGAACCTGTCAATCTTAACAACACTCGCTTGGTGTTAGGAGACAAGAAATGTAAATTTACCCGAAACATGATTGCTGTCGAAATCCCCTTCACATCTGTGAATTTCAACATAACCAAAGCCGAGACCACTGACGATTATAGTGTTTCCGATGTCCTCACGACTATCTGCGGTCGGATAACCCTACAAATAACTGCAGCACCGTCAGATATATGCACATAAATTGGTTTACTCGCATATATTCCAATCGAAATTCAGGTACAGCATAGCATCGGAAAATATTATGCTTCATTAAACATGACACTTTAGTAACAGCTTTGTAATATTTAAACCATACCAGAGGAACCCGGAATACTTGTAGTGAAGGGGGGTGTAATATTTATTAGCCAACCTCGTTTGCGGGAAGGAATAATAACAGATATTGGCTATCCCTAAAACCATATTACTTCTGTCACGTCTTATTAGTCGGAAGGACTTTTTACTTTTATCAAAGATGTCGTAGTCCGCCATGTTCTTCAGCGACAACAAACCATACACGACGCCTCTTCCTCACTTTGGACTGCCCACCGAAATAGATTGCGTTGGAAGAACTGTGAATCACTTTGAATTTCTAATTGGAATTTTCTGCTAAAAAACGTAACGCCGTAAAACTTGTAAAAACTGGATCTTTACCGAACAGACCGTGAGCACAATTACAGCTTACTAGCTTGTCACAGAAGACAGTAAAGTCAAGGAGAACTTGGTCACAATTTCGACGTGCCACTAACTCGAGATTATAGCATCTAGAAATTCCGTCTGTCTAAGAATGGCCAACGAATCACGAATCATTTTGTGACTTAAAGATATCCGAAACACTTTTACCATTTGCTAGAACTGACAATAGAAGACACGAGAAATGGAATTCAACATGTTATTATTGGAAATTTATGTACAAATAGTCGCTTCATACAAAGCAGTTGAGTGTGGGAATCAATCTTGAGGCATGGAGCGAGCGAGACACCAAACCCAAGTGGAAAGACAGTGGTACCAAGATTAATTTCGAACTTTTTTCTTTCCTTTAAATGTCGCCTGATGAGTAGTCGAGTTGAAGGAAAGAAAGGGATTAACAGTGAAATAACATTAAGAAACTCAATCTCTGAATAACTACTGATTAGAATCTAGAACTAAAATGGGTGATGCATAATGATGATCACTAGATATAACATCCTCATCAACACTGTCTACGGTTGTATTTGACAAGAGATCGCAATAACTAGTGTTCGACACAGTTAAATTACGTACGCTGATGAATTCACTATCTTCATCCCAATCAAAGCTGATTGAACACGTAGGCTCTATGGCAGACCAACAGTTATGGGAATTTTGTGAGGAAGGCATAGCTTTCCAAGTACTTAAAGCCTTACACAATAAGTGGCGGTTAAGTAACTTGCCTGGGCTATGTCGTTCAAAATTTTCAAGCTTTCGCCTCCCAACGTGGACCAAACGTTTGAGCAATTGATGGCACTGAAATAAGGGCAAATACAAAGTACTAAATGTACCTGAAAGCGGGAACAATGCAACTCAGGACCCATGGCTACAACCGAATTTAAAAAATTCAGCCGCGGTAATATTTAACTGTAAGTTAAGCGGAAAAACACCCACACACGTAAATCTAAATTGAAAAATACTATAACATCGTTTGTAGATAAGTTCTGCTGTGTGAATACATCAAATCTTATACCTAATATGATGGCACACGAAACGAAAATGAAGTGTAATTTTTGCTCGTTGGTTGAACCTTTTACTATCAGAAGGGGTTTTGTGGAGAATGTAGTAATTTCAACAGTGGAGATCCCTAGCCAATTGAAGCTAAACCTCCACGGAAAACCTGGAAGCACTGGATGGCCGTTTCGTCCTATTGCATGACCCCTCAGCGGGGCGCATCCACGACCCCACCTTGCGGGATTCGAACCCGGGACCTTTCAGTCTCACGCCAGGCTCTTAGCCAACTAGACCATTGAGCCGGCACCCAACGGTGTTAATGTCTCACGAAATTGAGCGACACATCCATCATTATGAGATCACTTAAAATGTTTATGGTGCAAGCAGAACATCCTTGTCATGGACACGCATGTTTTTTTCCCGTCGAAGATGGAACACAATATGACAACTGCAACAATAGGTATCGCAACGTGTGTACCGGACTCACACCGGCTGCATATAAAAGGTGATGAAAGGCACTATCTTGTTGGTTGTGCAAAGCATGCCGCTCTACGGATTCGTGAGTCGACTGGGCCGTTAAACAGCTTGAAAGTCGCATTAAGATAAACAGCTAGCAGCATGTGAGCAGCTTCCAGTTTCCGAGGAAGCAGTGAACGTTATCATGAGTCATGCTTTGGATTTGAACGAAACCATCTAAGTGACGGACAACAAACACACAAACGTAATCATAGTTAAGAAATAAGAGAAAAATTACGCTGAAAAGAAATAAATAATATGGAGTCCTAAGTTATACATATCGAAGGTTCCTGCTCCTGAATCACATATTTACGCACAAGTCTGAGTGGTGTAGATGATGTGATCAATGGACATAATAAATTCAATAACTGATTTGCGGTTACACCAAGATTAAGAAAAGCGAAAAACCATAGTGAGACCTTCGCGTGTGACAACAGGCCGGACTTCACGAACGAGCAGATTCCAGGAAACAAAACTGCACATCAGGTCTTAGAGGATCTCACTGAGGGGTCAGTCATTTTTCCTCAAGAGAATCTCTCGAAGAGGAACTAAAGATTAGAATTAAACACGACCTAAGACAAATTAAGTTCCTATTTAGCAAGCTGTCTCCAGAAACAGAAGCGGAAATTATCATCTATTTGCTTTATAGTATAGGACAAAACGCGGATTCTGAAAGTACTAAGAAAGGTCTAACATGCAAAACTCCCAGCTTCATTATGCGTGTGGCTCTCAAATAATAGACAACGATCAGGACAAATCATAGGCTAAAGCAATTTATTTCGGGATAGTTTCTACTAAGGAGTCTCTCCTACACGAAGAACTCACCGAGAACTTCGATCATACGATGTACTTAAGCCATGCTATCCCACTGGATTGAAATAAACTTTCCTAGTAATTATAGCTCGGCATTGAACGACGTGTGGTTGGGGTTCAACGCCACTACGCTACTCTCACACCAGAATCAACGTGACGTTAGTTCGATACGGAATTGGATGAGATTGTCGCTGGCCGGAGGTTACCAAGAATAATAAGAATCATCCGGGAATTGGTAAGCTGAAAGATAAATCAGAAAATGAAGGCGGCAGCAACTGATGGGGAAATACATGTTATAATACAGTTTTCTGGGTTTTACTTTTTGACACGCGCAAAATGAAAACCTGCGTGAAGATTATTCAACAATTAAACAAAGTGGGATTAAGCATGATTATTAGTCATGTTCGTAACTAACCAGTCAAATCGTTGCTTAAGCTCTTATCACGTCATTCTGGTTTGGTGTGTCTGTAGACTATCCCTGTCACATGTGACAGGGATGAACATTATTATACTATTATGTTAGTGTTAAAAATAATTTTTATTCATTTGGTTAAGATACGAAATACTAGTCGATATGTATGTGCGTTTCACTGAATTAATGTACCTCCTCTTATTAGTGTACTAGTTGATTTTACGTTTAGAAACAGATTAAGTTTGGAGCCCAGTTATCTTTGTTCTGACTACAGCTTAATTTACATAAACTACGAGTCCGCCGGTATCGCGTTTACAGTTCTAGTAGAATATCTGTAGGGCAAAGTTTCGACCAGTAACTCACCATAAATTTCTATGATGAGTAATGATAAATGCTTACTGAGAAGAATCAGAAAACAACTCAGATTCCTTATTTGTCTTCTCACTGATAAAGATGACCAATTTAAAGAAAACGGCTACCGAATAGATCCCTTGTTAAAGTTAGAAATAACCAAAGTACGCCCAGCCCAGACAGCAAGAGACATCGAATTGAAAAGGTTACGCTGAAAGGGAAGAGAGCATTATAACCAAGTTGTGGCCGAAAGGTGACGTTGTACGAGCCTGCATCTGCCTCACGTGGAGTCGATGTTTCTCCTGTAAATGACTGAATAACAATAATATCTAAAGCTTTAGACCTACCGAAGCGAGGTATCATAAGGTTTGATGGTAATTCTATGAACTATTGCAGTTTGATACGGAATTTCGAAGACTGTTCTGGTGAAAGCGTTGGATTCCAACCTGGGTCAAGCTAACTGATTCAGTATTGAGGCAGTATATCCAGGACTATTGTTCATTATGCTTTGCTTGAAGCAGAAGAAGGTTGTCGAAAGCGGCTAAATCAACAAGGACTGTGTGGAGTATGTTTTTGAATATCCCACTACACTTACAAAGAGAATGTGTGAAGGTGGCGTATAAAACTCTTAAGACGGGTAGGGAGCTTTTGGTTGGGGATCTATGTGAATTTGTGAAAGAGCAGCCGCATATTGCTAATACGAGGTACGGATTACTTGTTAATGGAAATCCTTCTAATCGCAACCAAAGGTAGTCATCTGTTGTTACTGATAAAAACTCAGCTCAGAGCATGGGGTGAGAGTACCGTTCTTCAGCAGTCTGATGTCTCTCTACACGTAAGGTCAAGCACTGTTGAGTCGCCATTTTTATCGTGCACTAAAAACCAACCCTTAGACCAATGTGAAAGTTTTAAAGACAAGGATTATAATTAAAGATTAGGAGTTGTACTGAAGATGTTGTGTAATGTCTGTCTGAAGGCGAACCAAATAGCAAGAAACTTTTGAGCGCCGACGTCACGTGTCATGGAAGAATGTGCCTGGAGGCATCACACCATGTAGCACTGGCAGCGGGAAGAACAAAGAGACAGTAAAACAAATGTTCACATCAACAACTGACTGTCTACTGAGGAAAGTGCTAAACGTGTATACATAAAAGTAAATGAAGTGAAAATTGTTGACTCTAAACACACGTTCGTAGGAGCTTGCAATAAGGACGCACCTGGCAGCCTCAAAAGAGCCGACGCTAATCTCAGGCAAATTGTGTGGTTCGAACCGGAATAAGATAGCAAATGCTTTTTTCCCTAGAGCTGGTCATGAGCGTTCACCATAAAGTGACTAAGAATAATCCTACGATCACTACTGTTTCAAGTATTGACGAACGAGTCTTGGAAGACGTTTTTAATAGAGGCTGGAGAAGTAGTGAAAAATTGGTCGCTCATGAAATTAGTTGATGACAGCAGCAGCTTCATCAGCCGTCAGTCTCAACATACACAAAGAAAAAAGCGAGATTTTCCGATACAACACAGCATGCAACAATCAAATCATAATTGACGGAAAAGATTTGGAAGGTGTAAAAACCTCAACATATCTAGGCAGCATCACTGATGATCAAGGGTGGATCTGATGGTGCCGATCGACGAAGCAAGAGCAGCATATTTACAACTAAAGAACTTCTGGAACTCAAAACAACTATCAATCAACACCAAAGTCAAAAGTTTCAATACAAATGTTAAGACAGTTGTACTGTATGAGGCGGAAACTTGGAGAAATACGATAGCCATCATCCAGTAGATACATGTGTGTATTAGCAGTTGTCCGCGCAAAATACTTCGAATCCGTTGGTCAGACACTGTCAGCAGCAACCTACTGTGGGAGAGAACAAACCTGATTCCAGTGGAGGAAATCAGGAAGAAGCGATGGAATTGTATAGGACACATATTGAGGAAAGCTCCCAACTGTGTCACAAGGCAAGCCATCACACGGAATTCTCAAGGTTAAAGGAGAAGAAGACGAAAGAACACATTACAGTGAGAAATGGAGACAGACATGAGAAGAACTAGAAAGGAAGGCCCAGGACGATGTGGGTTGGAGAATGCTGGTCGGTAGCCTATGCTCAATTGGGAGTAACAGGCGTGAGTAAGTAAGAAAGGTTATTAGTATCGATTGAAATCGTTATTCATGCGTACTAATCGACATAACAATACAACAAAACGCGTGAGCACTAGTCGGAGGACAAATGGAATGATGGGTTGATATAAGTAAATTAGATCGAGAAAGTTAAAGTTAAAACGGGGATTAATAATAGGGCTGTGTTTCTTTTGTTGGACTTACAAATGTCGAATTACAGTCTAAGTTCATTATTATTTCTGCTATAATAATAGCCCTAATCCTAATCCGTTGGGCTTTCTGTCCTTACTACACAAATCTAAATCTGAAATGAAATGGAGCTTTTGCATCGGTAATAATAATTCCCCGGTCAAATCAAATTTCAACCAAAATAACTACGGGCGTAACTATACTCAACTTTGTAAGTTATGTTTACATTTATCTAGTCTTATGATTTGTCATAATATGATGTAATTTTTATTAAAATAGACTATTCTGTGGATTTTACTATGGTTCGCCGAGCTCGATTTAAGTTGAATTAGACGATTTTAAATATTCTTCTTAAGCAAACAGATTTGACTAGTTTTACATATTTTAAATGTCAACCATTCGTAGCATACACCTGAATTCAGACCCCAAAGTACTAGAACTTCTCTCTTTTGTGCAAACACACTTTTGAAGTTTCTGTTGAATAAATTGGGAGATTTTGGGATAAATTCAACTGCTAAAAGTTTTTTTCTGTTTTAAAAAATGTAAAGCTTGTACGTCATCAAGGTACTATTTATCACAGACTTTAAAACTCGATCGTTTTCTGACTTGTGAAGAATAAAGCGGATAATTCGTAGTGAATTGTCTTTTACTATTTCTCAGATTCTGAATAAGTGACATGATATGCAGTTGTGTATTGTTCTAAGTCTTTCCTCGATACACATCAAATTTCGTGTTACGTTTCTAAAAATATGAGGACACCGTATTCGACTAATCCCTTCCTTATGAAACAGGCCTTGTAAGAGGTTGATGGTACATCTGACAATCATTCATCATTCACTAGAATAAAACACATACAAAACCTTTGAATTTTGGTGGTTTGCAATATCATTTATAGGTGGCACAATTAGGTCTGATACGTGGCTTGTGCTGAAAAAATTCAAGGGTCTGGTAGTTACCGTCGTCTGGCAGATGAAAGAAGTCAGGTTGGTGGTTGCAGTAGATTTTTATTTAAATACTGAAACAGGGTAGCTGGTGCGGGAGTTTCCAATTTCAAGCACAGGATTTTCACCACTCAATATAGGGTAATAGAAAATATAATCCCAATGTAAAATAATAATGCGAATATATACTTGAGATATAATGTCTGGAATTCACCGTGGTGTTTTCGATCAACTCTTAATCATCCAATTTAAGTTCTTGCAGGAATACTTAATCCGGAGTATCTCTGATATCCTTTTTTCCAGTTTGTAAAATTTAATTAGTTTAATCTAGACCAGAAGAGGTCGTTGAGTTCGTCAGAAGTTCTGGACGTAAAATATCACATATTATACTGAAGACACCCTGACGATACGATTTTAAAACAGTCGAATGACGAATATCAAAGAAATCTTAATCGTTCCAGCCAACTTAGATTGAAGTTACATAATTGTTCATGACAACTTACGATGGTGATCGTTATCTTTTGTAAGTAGAATTAGTTCAGCACAGTTGAAAATGGTTCAAGGATCCTAACACCGAAAAGGTACATGAGACTAACTCAAGAACATCAGGTGTTGTATATCTGAATGAATATGAGAAATGTAGTCCATGTAATGGAACTCTTGTTTGGAGTTTCCTGCTAGTGTTACTCTTTCGTAATGATCTCAAGAAGAATGATGCGATAATAACTGGGCATATAAAAAAGGAATGTTCCTTGAACACAGATGTAAGTTATCGCTATGTCACTGTGATATGAAGAATGACTGATCTTAGACGTGCCACTGAAATAAGATTATATAATAGTATCCATCCAATCAAGTTAAAGCATTGCCAGATTAACTAAAAATAAAGACCGGCAAATACATCTCAATATCTGGAAATTGCAGATCAGTAGTAGCACATATAAGTAGTTCCAAGTTTACAAAGTATATTAAAACGCCGTTAAAAGTTAGTTGATTTATTGACATGTAAATGACAATATATAACCATATCAGCTAAATTTATAAAGAAATATTCTGCTTCTTTTACTGATAACAGTTGCGTGATCCATAGTAAATTTTACTTTCTGTTAAGTTAAATAAACAAGTTTATAATAAAAATGACTCGTTCAGATATGTCTGTAAGCAGGTCGTGTGTTATTATAATGAATTCATACATCGATTCACGAGTTTGTCACGTCGATTTACCATGTCTTATTAATATTGCATCATATAAACAAATAAACACAACCATAGAATGTATAATACAAACATGGATAATTAAGCAGGCGCCATTAAAAAAAATCATAACGAAGTCAGCTTAGAAATACTTTAAATTACTGTGTAATACAATCTTTGGTTTTCTAATCGACTAACCATTTTTATTTTCCTAGAGATTTAGTACATGTCCGTAGGTTTTTAGAACATCTACTTTTCAATGTTTTGTATCTTTGTGGTATCAAATATTTTCGTACATGTTATAGTTTGTTTAATAGGTGAAAATACAATTTTCACTGAGGTTTTCATTGTTATCTCTAAATTTCGCTTTATTTGCTTTTTCATATGGTTAACTGGGATTCATAAAAATGGCATAGTCATGCAATACTAATGTAGATAGATCAAGAACAAACAACACGAGCCAATCAGAAGCGTCTCAGGAAGTCCAAGGTCATAGCGCCAATTTTACTATCCAGTGCCCTTGTACGAACGGCCAGGACGTCAAGCCATCGGTTTTCGCGCATGTGTTACACATTGTCGAACATCTTGGGTCCCGTTATCAGCTATTAACAGCATTTTTTCCGTATCACGTCAATTTTCGTGCTTGTTACATGATTTTTAGTCCAGTTTATTAGTAGTTTGATTTGTTGCTTACAACCTGGGCGAATGTTTAGTCAGACTAGTGTGGTTCACAGCGAATTTTAGAGAAAATGTGATGATTGAGCGACTACAACAGACGGGACTACTAAAATGTTCCTGTTTGCGATTATGGTGATCAAATAACTTGTATAGACTACCGTGATGTTATCTTTTGATGTAACATGTATTGGAGGAAGTCGGCTAGAATAGGATTTCTTCCGCTCTACCTAGATTGGGACTTAAGCAAATTATGACAGTTGTTGCGAACTGGATAATAAAAGCACCAGTAACACTGACTACACCCGGGTACTACAATATGTACGGTTGTTTGGAAGGCGTACAGATGGATACATAGATTTATGTGCATCGTGTCGTTATCCACAAGTGGCATTTTATGGACCCAACTACCGGAGTGCACACAAAAGATAATGAAGTTATGTGGACGAGGCTGAGAGTTTTTGCGACTATATCATGGATGATTTCCTCTACTGTATTCGTTACGATTTTAGAACCTCATTCTAACCTTGACAATTTTTTGAACCATGTAAAAGTAGCGTATCTACTTTAATTATTTGGTTTTGTATAATAGAATTTTTCTCTATACTTACTGTTTCCTAATTGGCTAAAATTTCTTAAGGTCACGTAAGATTCGTTCAAAAGTCGTCCATAAATTATAGTCTCGCCGTATAAACATTAGGCAGGTGAAAACATCTGTTGAAAAGAGATTGAACAAATAGTACTATTTCCTATAAACAAAAAAAAATAAAGAACCTTCGATGATTCATAGGAAATGAATACAAACTGACTTATCTTCAGATCACATTAGTCCAATTATTGAACAATAAACCCGTTGAATTGTTTCAGATAATTCTATTATGTATTTCTTTAATGTGTTAATACGAACTGGTCTTAATAATTTTTCATTCCAGCATATTTTTTTCCCAACTGTTCACTTAGGGATACTAGAACATCAATATGTAATTGAAAATTGTTAGTTGTAATTTACTTGTCATCAATTAATAAGTTAGTAGTAATGTACAGAAAACCGACAATAAATGGTTGAGGATTATGTCGATTTGTCGAGAATGTACTACAGCCAGGTTGGACATTTCGATTAGTAAATGGAAAGAAATGAAAACTACGTTCTATTTTTTTATCACTACAAAAACACAAACCATTCCCATTTGTTCTCTTACAGACTACTAAAACAGCTTACGTAGTATGGAGTGAAAGTCTACATTTGCAGGGTGAAAACAATAGAGTATTAATTTAAAGTAGGTTTCATCACAAGTGTAAACGAAAACAACACCTAGGTCTAGGAATTATCAGTGACTTGTTCTAAATATCTGAGACCAATTAAACTTTATAAATTTAACACAGCAAATAAGTCATCCTCATTTCATGAGAAAATCAAACGTCGGCTACCTTAGTTGAAGAACTAATAACAACGGATCGAAATATGTACAGAATTACGACCAAGTGACACAAGTAATCAATTTTTAGTGATTGAATCGTTATCCAAAGTCTTGGTTAGTATATTTTGGTCTGGACAACTTAAGAAGATGGTTAAAATTAAATGAACTCAGTTGGATACAGTAGTTTCTACTTAAATGTACATTTTGACCAGAATACTAAACAGTCAATTTCGGGTAAGTGCATTTCACGCTTCCTTTCCTTGTAGCTAACAGTGACAATATCTGAAAATTTAATTTTATGATAAAGTTGAGATATCGGTAATTTGAAATTTACTTAATATGGTCATTCTTAAAATGGATAAAGTGATTATTATTATTATTATTATTGATTAGATGGTAACAAGGCAGTCAATCATAATTCGAATACTTATGCCACTATGCTGTATCCAATATGAAGACTGATATTTTGGCAAAAACTTAACGCAATCTTGATTCTACTAGTATTTCAAGAAGAAACATGTATTTCATATGTGGTCAGTTGCACGGTCGTTAGGATTGATGATTGAATAAAGAGATAAACAATCATACGATAAACATTAATCAAATTAGAGAATAAATTGTATGTTTAAACTTTTTAAACGAACCTTACATTGCTAATGTGAAAAACATCTTAAAAGGTCTAAACATTCATAACTGTAAAGATAAAAGATTTGTATACGTATACAACATCATATCTGAATCAAATCTAACATGACAACAGCATTTTGAAAACAAAAAAAAAGAGAAAGTAAACAACAATTGCATGAGGACATAATACACAGAATATCTGAAGGTAGTTAATATCTGAGATGTAAAGAAATGAGCAAAGAAATGGTAGATCTTAATCATAATAACAGTAAATTAAAACGAGTATAAAGAAGAAGTGATAGAAGAGATTGGCTAAATACTACCTCTTAAAATACACCAACAGATTATAATGACTTATCAGACATAGTAAACATGATTAATACTGGAGGCAATAATTATAATAATGAAGAATAAAAGATACATTAGAGAGTCATTATATGAAGCAACAATAGAATTATTCATTCAATAAGCGAAGTTGATCTAAGCATAAATGGAAGGCTTTCATCATGTATCTGAAAGATAAGAAATAATAACAGGATAACATTAGCAATAATAAAAATAAATTTATTATGGGATTTTTTTATATAACTAATCGATCAGTTCGATTAAATTGTAAACTGTAATGGTAGTCTGAATTCACTTGGTATTGTTCACTTGAATCTTCCTATTGATGTTTAGGACTACGATTGATCAGTCTCTTATTGAAGCGAACGGTATTAGGTCCAGGTCCCAGAGTAAACATCAACTGTGAGATGCAGGTATATCCAGCTGACGAGTCCCGAAATGGGACGAAACGCGTTTCCTGGATTCCGCTGCTAGTCACTATCCATCTTTGTTAATAATGTTATGGCAATCGTTATTTTTTCCAAGGAAATAGTCCATAAAAAATCAGTGGAAATAATGTGTAACACGATCAATTAAATGGGAAAAAGCAAGTTTAAAAGAAATCTACTAGTAATCTGTTATAAGTCTCTGTTACTATAGCCCAGTAATCTTGGATACCAATTCACTCAACAAGTTCCCAAACCAGAACACAGTTGAACAAGCACGAAATTATATCCCAAAGAACTAGAGTAGATGGAAGTAGTGTTTTCATAGATTTTGCATGAGAAGTTTCTAGAGTCTCCTCCAAGTATCGGCTAGCGCTGATTGGATAAGAAATACTCAATCGGCGTGCACCAACACAATCCTGCACAGAACATGCTAATCTACTCTATGTTCCCGACAACACAATCAAACATTCCAGAAATGTGGTATTCATCGAGTGAACGATAATGTCAAAACGGATGGATAGAGCTAAGGGTAAACATGAGATGACGGAGCTGTAAATATGCATCGATAAAGGTGCCTTAGAGAATGAGTTCAACAGATTATGTTTGGTGAAGTTATCTATGTCGATTTGAAATAGGAGACTGTGTTGATAACGATAAGCCTAAACAGATAAATGTTCGTCATACAGTAGCAAGTTTGAACGCATAAGTGATTGATTTCCAAACTATATTATAGTATGTAGTGAATCATATGCATCACACAAAGGTTGTAAATACATCAAAGAGATATTTGTTAAGCATCAAGCCAAAACAAAGTGATGAACTATGGGGAAACGTGCACTTCAGAACCGAGTCGATAATTTTCATGATCATACTGAGTATTTTGACAACTATGAACTTCACTAGTAAATAAGGCATGATTCTCTAATTGATGCATATTAGGATTAGAGCATATACGGTAAAAACTTAAAATGATTTAAGAGATACATTGAGCAGCTTCATGTAGAATGATCAATTTGTAATAAACAAAACATTATGAGAATTATACCTATAAACTCCATCAAATTAAATTTGATTTATATCAGAAACGGTTTTTGTGGATATTATAGTAAATTTAATAGTTGAGATCATTAGTCAATTGAAGCTAGATCACCATGAAAAGCCTGGAAGCACTGGACGACAATTTCGTCCTATTGTGGAACAACCACAGCGCGAGAACACTTAACCTCTAAACCACTGAGCCGATAAATCCTGGCTTTGAATCCCGCGAGAAAGGACCGTGGATAAGCACTGCTGAAAAGTCTCACAATAGAACGAAACGGTCGTCCAGTGCTTACAGGTTTTCCATAGTGATCTCGCTTCAACTGACTCATGATCTCAACTATTAAATTTGATTTGATGAAATCTTTATAAGTAATAAGTAAAACAGTTAGAGAAACAGAAATAACGATTAAGTGAAATACAAGAGATCAAACTAGATTGTTTTCAAAACAAAACAATGATAACAGAAGAAGAAGAAGAACATGAAACTCTTCTATGAGTCTATCATTTCTACATGTAATCAACTTTGTTACACATATTGTTCGTAAGATGAGACCAATCAAGAACCAGAACCAGCATACATATATTGTCATAAATAGTAACAACTTCTTGTTCTTCTAACAAACACATCTCTTCCAATTTGTTATTAATTGGTGGTATTATCAATTGTCGTGCTGCTCGTTCTACCTGTTGCATCACATGAATTCATTGTCATAGTTGTACAATTATTCTTTCTTTATTTTAGATAATAGTTAAATTAACATTTTACTTACATTACATTATGTATAGTGTATCTAACACATCATATTTAGTAACAAAAAAAACTAATCGGTAATCTATAGTTGTTAGCTTTTATTCGAGAATTGATTGAAATGAGGTGGTGAGGTTTTGTCCACTTCTATTCATCGATTTTTCTTGACCTTAATCACTTTACCTAGTCTACAACAACAACAACAACAACAACAACAACAACAACAACTACTACTACTACTACTACTACTACTACTACTACTACTACTACTACTACTACTACTACTACTACTACTATGGTTGTGTAACAGTTGGAAAGACTAGGAAAAAATCTCTTAATTGTATTGATTATCTCAGTCTTAACCAAATATAAAAATGTTCACAGAAACCGGTTCATACACTAGATATGTGTGTGTCCATAATTATTCATTTAACTATTTGCTTATATGACTGTATAGGTAGTCATATCTGTTCAACTGTTTTGTTTTAAGGAAATACTGTATAGACAAACACATACACAAGGTGGATTTTCAACTCCAGTATGACAAGAAAAAAGTCGTTGCAGGATAATTTTATTAAAAGATAGTTTAATTGAGATGTACGAGTAGGAAATATGACTAACCCAACTATATGGACATCAGACAGACAAAAATCACCAACATACATTCCTCCACAGATGTGTTGGCTCAAATTGTTATACTACATTAGCACGACGAGATGAAAGTAAAAAAACGAGATTGAAATAATATAGTAGTAGTGAAATAAAAACTAAACCTTAGGAATATGGTTTGAAAAAACAAAGTGGAAAGGTATGTGTGGAAGGATACTGGAATTCAAGATTGAGAGGAAGACAAATAATGAATGTGCCTGCCGCATTGTGAACGGTTCCAAGCTGCCATGCCGTCCCCAATCACTGGTAGCTGTTATCACGTGAACCGTAACAGGTGGTGAGTACAAACCTATATGGTTCGGATCAAAACTCAGTGACTTTATGGACGGATGCGACGTTTTGGTCTGTCCTCTCTTAGTTTTCTTCCAACTTAATCCTGCACTACCAAGCATCGGTTGTTGATGTAGGGACAATAGTTAGGCATACATAACATATGTCCTAACTATTTCAGTCGATGAAGATTAGCGACCTCATTACCGATTTGTATTATCTAAACATGAAGAATTGGCCTTGGTCAAACAAACATATATTAGTACACATATATAGCATTTCAGTAACGACTAGATGTTATATGTAGAGTATGAATGGTATTATATGAGATATGAAGGGATGTTGTCATATCCTAGTGATCATGATGACGGTGAGACTTTTGAACATGAGATACTTCATGCGATCAAAAGAAAAATATTTATTTGGTTAGTGCATTTAATAACTATCTTAAGTGGATTTGTATTTCATTGTTCTAAATATTCAAGTACCAACTACATAATCTTGAGTCCGAACCTATCAAATCTATTTCAGTTGGTTTGGGTGAGTTATATCATTAGTTCCAGTATGAGGGATGTTGGTTACATTCAACTCGACTGATAAATTGATAGTTCAAATTAAATTATCCACAACTTTTAAAAATTGTAGTTAGGTTGAGGTGTTAATGGAAAAGAAAATTCAGATAAAGTTAGTTAAATCATTGTATACATTTCAAGATTTTCTATTGTGTTTAGTGTAACACATAGAATAGTAGATAAAAAAAGGTAATGAAATAACATGTGGACTATAACTACTATCTATTTCAACCAATAAGTAGCAAATACAGTGGCGGATGTGGGGGAAGAGAATATAAAACTTCCTTGTTAGAGTTCACATGATTTTACATACACAATTTAATGGATGATTATTGATTATAGGCAAACAACGTATCCTAAAATCGATAATGTAACCTAACTTTCATTATATCTACTTTTTTCCTCTACTTATTGAATTTCTTTATTTTGATATCAATTTATTGTATGAAACCAATGGTTGGAGACTCTGAGTGACATGGCTCAGAATCGATCACGATGGCGTAGGTGTATACACTTTCTGTCTTCCCTTAAACTATGATATTAAAATCGCTTCATATCTTTCTTTCCACAAACTAATTCTTTCTTCCTTATATGCAATCTTTCTTTTATATATTACCACCATTGAATTCACTACTTTTATGAATCCGGTGTTCATCTTGTTGTGCTAATGACGTATGGCAACTTGGACCGATACATATATGTGCCTGGTCCTATGTTGTAGCTGACTGATTGATTGAGTCTATAAGATCGGGAAGTGAAGTATCAAATTTTAAAAGATACTTTTATTTAATTCAGAGATAATCTATTGAGAATTATTTATTGTCAATTAATTTTAATACTATGAGACATATCTTATGCAATGATGAGAAAAGTTAAACATTTTGTTATAATATAGCTTTATGTATTCATATGATACATCGTTTGTTTTACATGTATCCACTCTTACAGTCTATCTAACTGACCATACAATATGTGATTAAGATACATTAGCAACTTAATAATATCTATCCAAAAAAAAGAATTATATTAAATGTTAAAAATGTGATCATATAAAAATAAGCATAATATTGAACATACTCATGTTTGAGATCCAATAACTTTCTCAACTCTACATCCGAATAGTTATCATCATACAAAGAACTAAACTTAGATGAATTCTTTGAATGAAAGTAGGTTTGATTTGTCGGAAAGTTGTCAACTTTTTTTGATTTAGGATGTAAACATATTGCAGAATTTATACAATTGCTATGATTATTTTGAATTACTTCTGAACAAGGAGTAATGTATTTTTCCAGTAGTTGATCGATACGATCAATTGCTTTAACTAATAAAGACTCTAAATGCAAATGGTTCTCATGTACATTAAGTGGGTTATTTTTTAATATACTATTATTGTTGTTGTCATTTACTTGACTGTTGTTCATAGGTTCAATAATATTTAAACTTTTTGATGTGACCAATTGAACTAAACCAGCCAATGCTTCAGCTTCCGAATGTGCACGAAAATAAACAGATCTGTAAAACAGAGAGACAAAAAAAGCCTATTATATAATGAGATCATACCGATTCGAATTAGGAATAAGTATGACCAAGACATACCACTAAACCGTAATTTTAATAGGGTTGAAATGTTCGAAGACAGAATGCCATAAACTTTAAATAAACAAGGTATACAATTTGATACTAAGCGGCAGTTATATAGTTACATTTCATATAGATTTTGTCAACATAACAACTCATTATTCACTAATTTCTGGTTTTTATGAAATCGATTTCCTCATAAAAATCTTCAATTTACTAACTGAAAGCAAACAATTGACTCAACTTCGTTATGTCATTATAATCCGTTAGCTAGCAGGCACAATTTGAAGGGGAAGTAGTGTTCAAATAAGAAAACATAGGACAATTAGACGTCTTGTTACTATTGAGTAGTTAACAATAACAATTATACAACACTGATCAGACAACGTTAGTTTATATATATATATATATATATATATACCCATTAGTTATTGATTTTATTATACCCATAACTAGTCGATCTGTCTGGATACACATTTAATTCGATCAGTCTGTTGATAATGTCTGAGGATTATAAATAACATATAATAGTGTGATAAGCGTAGTCACAATCATAGTTTCAGCTAATCTTAAATTCTGAGTACTGAATGAGTTCCTTAAAAGTAAAGCAAATAATATGATGAGATAGCATGGATGCAGTTAATACAAAATGAACAATTTTAGACTTGTAAAAATGATAATGGTTAAAGTTATTCATGAAAAAACAAACTAATTGATACATCTTTTAACTCCCTATTAATTTATGCCTTTGAAATGTTGTCATACTGTTTTCTGTGAATAATTTTTCTTTGGTACTAATATACTATCAGACTTATAGTTTGTACAAGACTCCGAACCACTTTCTGCCAATAAACAGGAAGACTAAGTCATCACAGTTGAGAAAATGTTGTAAACATTTACTACCCATTCTATAACTATATTATAATAACAATAATGATCATTTACTCACCTTAAATAATTTAGTCGTTTTTCAAGTATACAAGCGAAGTCATTAATTTCAGTTAAAATATCCGAAGTAGTTGGACAATGACCAGATATATCATTTGAAACTTTTTCTGTATCAGATATTAAACTGGTTGATAAAAGTGAAGTTAATTCATCTAATGATCCATCATGTAATTCATTTTTATTTATTTTCTTATTATATTTAATATTCTCTTCATTCCAAGCTAATATACTACTTGTATGAATAGAATCATAACTATTATTGATTTTCTCATTAGATACAAGTTTGTTTAAAGATTTCTGAGAAGGATAGGAATTATTATGCTCTATAGGATAATTATGAGTTGTATTACGTGAATCTGGAAAAGTATGTAATTCAAGAAGACTTGAAGGAGGTGATGTATTAGATTGAAAAGGAACTGTTTGTGTAACTGTTAAACTACGACCACGACCACTACTTGAACTATCATGTTTATCACTAATTGACTTATGAATTAATTCAACAGAGGATGAAACACTTCTGTTATTGATATTATTTGAGGATGTAGAAAGATGCACTTTATGTTCATGTAATGACAACTGATCATCCAACACAGTAGATTCAGCAGAAATCTGATTAAGAGAGAACAAAAAATTATTAGACAAAAGAAACACATCTGTATGTTTAAATAAGAAACTCTGGAGAAGATGGACACAAAAATATAGGGGATTGCAGATGAGATAATCTGTTACTCATCTTTTATTGTCCTGATATATTTAGTTGAGCATTTCATGTTCATATTTATAAGTTTATTGGTAAAGGCTTTTTTCTTTTATACATCTAAGCTTTATTTAACTTACAACTTCAGTCAATCTACCTTTTTTATAGCTGAAATCATGTACTCTATAATAGTAATTTTCTATTTCGAAAACATATTTATACATGTAGTAACTGTGTAAATGATTCCTACAAGTTTCTTTTCATAATCATTATCTCGTCATTCTACTTTATGCTAGTTTACATCCTGTTAACATGATAGGATTACAAACATTCCTTTTTCAAAAACATGAGATTATTATTTTCAGTTCATAAGCAACAGAAGACAATTCTTAAGGTTTACGAATCCACAGAATTAAGCTACGATTGACGCTCTTTCCCCACTGAAATTTATAACGATAAAGAGTAGTATAAAAATCTCAGTTGTTACATACGTTTTCCAAGATCTATTCTCGTTCAAGATCGAGATCGGTGAGAAAATTATTAGTTTAAGCACTTCAAAAATGCCCTTATTTTTTCATATCCAGTAAATTGAGAAGTCGAAATCCTGTCGATGATAATGGGATAGAGCAACGAATGGTTTGGAATATTGGTAGTTTATTAAGCTAACTGTACTGTTGAGTACAATGTATCACACTTTGATATGCCATAGTTGTTAAAAACATTCGAATAGGGCTTGCCAATCCAAGTTCACTAGATTAGTAGTTTGTACACATGTGCGGTACTATGCCTACTAGCCACCGCTAATTGCTCAGAGGTTAAAGATGATACCGCAAAAATGTCAGTCTACGTCAATGGATACTTTCTGATCTCATTATCTTCATCACAGAAAGACAGCGAACAAATTTAGTCGATTTTAAATAGAATTGTTTAAGATAATTATATTAAAAGCATTCTACTGTCACAAGATTAATTCAAAAGCAAATTACTTGAAGTGAAATTAAGACCAGATTCATTGTTTGGTTTGGTGCTCAGTAGGGCAGAACACTACACTAATTAAACATCAAATATTACGTCATATTTTGTTGTAATTCATAACTCAACCCCAGGTACTTGGAAGTTTGTTCAGGTTGGATATTTCAAGATAGTTTGAGGTGTACGAAAGTTTAACTTAGGTAAAGCAGAAAACTTTGGCAACAATCACGCTACTGAGCACTACCTCTTGTCTGAATTGTCAGAGACTGAATAGTATAACTTCGTTATAACCATCTAATAAGAGCCATTTAATTTAAAAGTTCAATGTTTTAACGATAAACAAGACAATAAAAAAATAGTGCAACTTACCAAATTTCTACTTCCAAAATATTCCTTATTAGGTGAACGTGTTAAATGAGAGCCAGAATTTTTTAATTTCTTAAATTCATCAACTGGAGAACTAGGCATAAATTGTTGCATATTCAAAGAATTCTCTAAACTAGGTAGAATATCTGCATCGGATAAATTAGAACTATGACATAAAACAAAACAAAACAAAGGAAATTGTTGTAAAACACGGAATAAGAAATAAGATTCAAATAAATAAATAAATCAGCTATATATTCCATTAATATCAGAAGGGTTTTTGTGGGTATTATAGTAATTTCAATAGTTGAGATCACGAGTCAATTGAAGCTAGATCGCCATGGAAAACATGGAAGCACTGAACCGTTTCGTCCTATTGTGGGACTCCTCAGAAGTGCGCATGATGAATATAACGCATAATAACATTCATAATTACAAGAAAATCGTAATAGATTATAATATTGAGAAAAGTCATACTAATCATCTCATTGTGTAATTAACCTGGATACCAAAATTTTTCTACAGCTGATATATGCAATATGCAACATAAACTTTTTTTGTTGCTGGGGAAGAAAATCTAATAAATAAAAAAATTAACCAATCGAAATTTAGAATACAATAACCAATGAAAATTGATCTACGTAGAACATGATCATATCATAAAGATGATGAGAATTTTTTTCTTTCAATCTCCATCGATTGTATTTCTATTGAAAATAAATGAGTTTCTTTGATCGAAACATGATAGGATGTAATCGATTTTTCTCTATAGTTCAGAATTAGAAATAAAACTCAATTGAATAGATAGTAGGTTCCAAAAAAAGGTTTCAGTATAAATTCGATCCATAAACATAAATAAATGTACTAGAACACTATAAACAATTCTACTGAACAATCTATTCTACAAGCCATTCTAATACAATTAACTAAGTTAATTTAGAATATATATAGAACGATAGTAAACGTAAAGATATTGGAAATTATTAACTAGTGGAGATATTTAACCCAATAATATATTTAAGTACAAGATCTTGGGGTTTTTCAGCAACCATGATATTTTAGTTAATTTATTTGAACACATAAATATTGGTACAAAGGGGCACCAAATACATATGTGCCACACAAGTCACTTGATTTGTGTGAGGGCTGGGATACTGTCCGGGTGCCCAGAATGAAGATGGTGGTTTTCTTAGGGGGCAATAACCAAAGCCTTAGACCTAAGAGTCTGATCCACAAAGCAAAGAAGATGCAATTCTGTCGTAGCCAGTGGCCAACAACAGGTTCATACACCATTTGTTCCTTCAGGATATTGGAGCTCATGTGCACCATTGGTTTGGAATCAGGGTTTTCCAACTCCCTTCGGTGGACTCTCCGTGTCCACCAACCCGGTTAAAGCGCCGGACATTCACTTTTCATTCATTTATGAAAATATTTTGTGGCAAAGATATATTGTAGATTAATTCATGTTGAAAAATCTGAACAAATAAATTCCAACACAGTAGCCTAATGATAGTATTTCGAGTCTCGTTATCTACTATATATATATATATATATATATATATATATATATATATATATATATATATATATATATATATATATATATATAATGAAACAAAAAATCTGCACTAATTTAGTAACAACTCCTTATAGGGACATAAATCATTCAGGAAACTGCGACATCATGGATCGACTTTAGTTAGATGACTAGTGGAAACCAAAGCGCGCTGGACATCTGTTTTGTTCTAATATTGGACTGCTCAGCAGTGCACATCCACAGCTACACTAGAGATAGAACCAAGATCCTTCAGGTTTCGTGACTAGTGCCTTACCCTCAGACAAAGGAGTTGGACATGAGGCTCGAAAGTTCTGGCTTCGATTACTAAAGTGATCATGTATATGGACTCCAGAAAAGTTCTATACTAGAATGAAGCAGATTTCTAGTGCTTCCTGGTTTACAGTAGTTGTCTAAATAAGGTTAGTCTAGGAAGAGAAACTACAAAACTCAACAATCTTCATAGACTTTTATAGAAAAATAATAAACCAGCATACTTTTTAGACTTTGATATAATATAATATATAATATAAAAGAGCGCAACATCGGCCGATAACATGATGACAGAACAGATGGCAAGAACCACCTAACACATTAGGTTGGTACATTTACTAAATGCCCGATGTTCCAGGAAAGGAATATTACAGTTATGAGCAAACTGATTTACGCCACGACATAAAAACACAATTGTAGTGGGTAAAATGTTTGAATTTCAGGTAATGGATCACTGATTTCAATTCGGTCCTTATCCAAATTTAGTTTGGATAAACGGGTAATATTATTTTTACCTATGAATGAAGTTTAAAACTTATTGTACCTGAAATTAATGAACGTAATTTAGGGTATTAAATATTAAAGAGAAGACAATCTGTTTGACAATTAACATTGTCGTTTACTTAAACGTTGCATCACAGTTAATATCCGATTTTAAAATTAAAAGTAAACAAAACAAAATATAACGGAAATATCGGGAATAATAATCTATTCAAGACATAGAGGCAGATTTGTGTTCAAAGCAAAAAAGATCAATTAAATGTGAGTAGAACACGGAAATAAAATGCTGAAACTGATTATAGTGAACTTGGAATGCATCTCAGTGTAGATCGTGTCATAATTGTTAAAGTTGAAGAAAGCTATTCATAGTACATTCACTTTAGTGACATTGTTGTGAGACTTCAATGAAAACAATTTATTATTCTCTAGTTCAGCTAGAAAATCTTGGTTTAAAGAGGTACCAAGTAATGAAGCATACAAGAATTAAGAAAACAAGCTATCCAGTTAGATAAGCTTTAAAATCCAGCACAGAATGTTAAACTAATCTAAATGTTCTTGAACCCACTTGGTATTACATCACTCGAATTTTGCGTTTCTAGAGAAATCACTCTAGGCTCGTTTATTTGTAATGATACTTACGACAAGGTATAAAATCAAATAAGGTTAGCTTACTGGACGATTTCTAGATATCCATTCATTGCATTTGGTGTTGCTGGAGGTGAAGTGTCTGTATGTACCTCTAAGAAATTGGAAAGACACGAAGCAACAGGATAACTTGGTTTCACGTTATCCGATTGGACTGCAAATAAATTTGATTTTTGTAGTAATGAATTGACATTATCAACGGGTGGATAAGGGTTTCTAGTTTGGAAAGATGCTGGAGTCCGCTTCACTGGTGTACTTTGATCAATAGACCGATCAGATTGGTGAAAGGATGTAGAAAACATGGGTGCACAAGTCACACTATGACGTGGTAATTCAGGAGAAGTAGACAACTGGCATTCTAAAAGGTTTATTTCAATTAGAGTAAACAAATAAATAAACGAAATATACGGTAAAATATTGACATTGTTTAGTTAAGATTTTCTTATGTACCGAAGTTAAATAGAATTAAAAATATAATTCAATAAACACGTAAATAGAAGGGTGAAATATTAATCGATATACCGTATCAGTGATGAAGCTGTTAAACCCTTAAAAGTTAGGCGGGTTTTAATCTCATCACTTATTGACTAAAAGATATGATCTGAAAGCTAGTGTTCGGAAATCAAATGAAATTTTATGGTAGCTGGCGAAGTACGATATTTGCTCACTTCGGATCTTGAAGACTATATAATTAGGAATCAGGGTTTTAAAACACTTAAGTTGATTGTTCGTACCCACCACCCTAGTATCCGACTTTCCGTTTCTGTAAAAACACCATGACATAAATATAGTGGGCAAAACATACCCAAGATTACATACGCCAGTACGTATGGAGGCATTCTGACTGTTAAAGGTTGGATATATGTATAGGGAAGAGTAACCTCTCTCTATCCTGGTTAGGTTTGATCTTTTCAACTTGAGGACTCTGATAATTTCTGTTCATGAAGAATTGCAACACTGTAAATAATTTTGGGATCAGGTAATATTTTAGGTGTAATGGTAGTAAAGTTGATTTTAAGATCATGTAACGCCGGCTCAAACGACTTGAACATGTTCCATGAATACAAATCCAACAGCTTTCCCAATACTAATTATTTCCCGATGACAGGGTAGAAAAGAATGGAGGTGATCAATTTATGTCAGTGTGTTATGGAATGAAAGATAGTTGTTCGTGACTACTGATCAAATGGGTGGATTCCTAGAGATCACGCAATTGATTGGCATAGGAAGTTATCAAACATGGTTCAGAAAAGAATCTAGTAGAGATCCTGGTGTGGTTTATTTATAAAAGTTAGAGGAACCTAGTTAGCATAAGTAAAAATTTTTTAGTCGTACATTTTACAAGTTTATTAATTTATTGCTAGTATGACTTCCTTTATTTCTATTTTATTTTCAATAGTATCATTCTGTTTAGTGTGGGGTTCTTCTATGACTACTAATTGTACCAAAAACCTCATACTACAATTAAAAAACCGTTTTGGTGACGGTCTTCTGAATATTTTCTTTGAACTTTTGCTCATTATACATTTTGGCATTCAGTAATCAATGGACAATTAGTTATATTCAAACTGGATGATTTCATCTCATTCACTTGTCATATACATATTCATTTTTAAATTTCACAGTCAAATAACAGTTAAATATTAGTAAATGCGGTCGAACAACTACCTACACAGTCATGTGAACACACACATATCTAGTGTATGAACCGGTTTCTGTGAACATTTTTATATTTGGTTAAGACTGAGATAATCAATACAATTAAGAGATTTTTTCCTAGTCTCTCCAACTGTTACACAACCATAGTAGTAGTAGTAGTAGTAGTAGTAGTAGTAGTAGTTGTTGTTGTTGTTTGTAGACTAGGTAAAGTGATTAAGGTCAAGAAAAATCGATGAATAGAAGTGGACAAAACCTCACCACCTCATTTCAATCAATTCTCGAATAAAAGCTAACAACTATAGATTACCGATTAGTTTTTTTTGTTACTAAATATGATGTGTTAGATACACTATACATAATGTAATGTAAGTAAAATGTTAATTTAACTATTATCTAAAATAAAGAAAGAATAACTGTACAACTATGACAATGAATTCATGTGATGCAACAGGTAGAACGAGCAGCACGACAATTGATAATACCACCAATTAATAACAAATTGGAAGAGATGTGTTTGTTAGAAGAACAAGAAGTTGTTACTATTTATGACAATATATGTATGCTGGTTCTGGTTCTTGATTGGTCTCATCTTACGAACAATATGTGTAACAAAGTTGATTACATGTAGAAATGATAGACTCATAGAAGAGTTTCATGTTCTTCTTCTTCTTCTGTTATCATTGTTTTGTTTTGAAAACAATCTAGTTTGATCTCTTGTATTTCACTTAATCGTTATTTCTGTTTCTCTAACTGTTTTACTTATTACTTATAAAGATTTCATCAAATCAAATTTAATAGTTGAGATCATGAGTCAGTTGAAGCGAGATCACTATGGAAAACCTGTAAGCACTGGACGACCGTTTCGTTCTATTGTGAGACTTTTCAGCAGTGCTTATCCACGGTCCTTTCTCGCGGGATTCAAAGCCAGGATTTATCGGCTCAGTGGTTTAGAGGTTAAGTGTTCTCGCGCTGTGGTTGTTCCACAATAGGACGAAATTGTCGTCCAGTGCTTCCAGGCTTTTCATGGTGATCTAGCTTCAATTGACTAATGATCTCAACTATTAAATTTAATTTGAATAAATCTTGTACAAAGAACAATAAGTTGTTACTATTTATGGCAATATATGTATGGTTTAACTAGTTCGCTGGGTACATAAACGTATAACATTGAATTATATTTCGTCACATTGAAAACTTATTAAATGAGCTTAGGAAACTAGTTTTAGAAATTTGCTGTTCATTTATGCATGAATCAAGACCCAAATATATGAACCAAGGGTTCACATATACCCTTTAGTACACCATTTTCGACTGATCAAAGACTAAATGATTTTGACAGCATATTCTACAGTTCAAACACGCTCTATAACAGAAATGACCATTGCTGAAACGTTTTTTGTAAACATAAAGTTTTTACTGCAACACAAATCAAGTAAGTTGCACACTTTTACACACATGAGAAGAGATGCATCCGAAACATGCTTGTTTAAAGAGATCAGAAGACTGTATTTTATCAACGTCATCACGAGACAGAGCTATATTTCCTGCTTGTTCTACACTAAAAAACGATCACACAGCAAGCAGATTAACCTCTGAGTTATAAAAAAGTGTTATCTGTAAATGTATGTCTATGACGAGATTAAATAAAGGGGAATAGTGGACAGTGCCGGTGAACATCACTTGAAGTTGATAACTTCGATGATAGTTCGATATAAGCTCTGACTTGAAGACTAGTAGTAAACAGCCTTCTAAATGCTAATGCACTTCATTGACACACTCTTCAATGGTAAGCATTGGCACCGTTCGTTTCCATTGAAACTGTAAACAAACTCATTGGATTGCGTAAATTATGTGCAAAAATAGACAAAACATTTAAATAATTATCCATTAGGTTCATTGATCAACATAAAATATTATTAACTTCAGTTAATATCTAATTTCCAATGAATATCATACGCTTTACTTCACAAGAATTCGACTCACATCATTTGAGAAACGAGTTTTTCAATAATTACGGATTCAAATTTTTAAATTGTGTGGGTATAGTTAGACCAGGGACTTTAAGGCCTAGATCCTATATGCCTGGTTCACAAGGATGCAATTAACATTTCTACAAATATCCAGGATTTTCCCTTGTATTATAGTCGGTTGTGAATGAACCTTATTTTTTTAGTAGTTGTGGGTTGTATAAAAAGTCACTGTGGCTATAATGCACGTCCAGTTGAAGGCTATTTTGGTTGCTTCTATTTACTGATCGATTTGAACAGCTAGGGACAGGTTATAACAATCAGCTCTGTTGTATATGAGTGCACGTCAAAAAGGAAAGTAGATCAAACTGCGTTTATGAAGTACAGGTTACTGTGACGACCAGTAAATTACTTTTGTGTAGTACCTGAACACAATACCTTAACTATGTAATCTTAAGTCCATAATGCTGGATTGCGATTACCTACAGTCAGGGGTACAGACAAGAGAATTAAGACTTTACATTCAAATTATATGAAAGTCAGGCATATCGTTTTATTGAAACCATTATTATCAACGTGTCAAAACTTGAAATTTATCCACAAAATCAAACTCCAGTGAGACTAAAAATTTCTACACAAAGTAATCATATTAATTTATTAGTCTGCATAAACAATATGAGACCACCTTATATCGGTATGAAAATAAAAAAACCGGTAAGGAACAAGATGATAAGGCAAGAATGTGTTGTATCCGAAGTAAATTAAATGAATGTTAACTTCTGAGAATTATTTATAGACTGTTATTATGCATATTCATATTGTATAACTATTAGGAACTAGATTATATATGTGTATGCTACTTATGCTGACAGATAAAAGTAGTATGTAGCACCAGTCGGAAGTGAAATGCCTGGCAGCAGAAGATTGAAATGAAGAGAATAAGAAGGAAATAAGAGAGCGGTCGAAATTGTTATTAGTATTGTAGTTGAAGGTTTGGAAAGTATGGAATGAATTCAGTAAACGAGCCTCCCCAGTGTTACTGTATCGGTTATGGTAAACAAACTCCTCCCCTTGAAATACAAATCCCCATGGGATACATTTGATTTAACAGCTTTGAAATTGGAGGATCTTACATTATGGAGTATAGTGACTGATCAATTGGTGATCGATACCGATGGGATGTACGAGTTCTCCTTGCAAATAAGATCATGAAGTGTCTCAAAGCTTTGTTTGTTAGACAGTACATCACCTGTGGTAACTATTACCGTGCAAGATTACTCAAAGTATGTTAATAAAAGATATTATCTTGTGATTTCTCAGCATCATCATTTTGGTGAATAAAAATTAATAGCAGTATTCTGCTCAATTTCAAATAGTTTTAGCTTTTTCGAAATTTAGAAGGAAATAAGTAAGATTTGAATTGAAATAATAGATAAACCACCAGAATGTTTTTCGTTTGTACTCCAGCCAACAGTTTTATCCATAAAGCTTATGTCTTTATAAATGTATTTAAGTCTAACTATATATCTCTGAGCTGATTGCGACAATCATTATTAACGGAGTATAGATTACCAATAATGCACATTAGTGACCAAGTAATAGGTGGTTTATGATAGTAACACTACGGTCAGACCAAAGTAGATGAAGCGTTTCAACTTAAGAACAAATTGTTTAGGATCGAATATCTACATAACTCAAAAACAGCTCCATGTACATTAAACGGTTGTTGGAGCATGTAAGAGATAGATAAAAAAACTGCAGATTGTGGCTGAGTAACTGAAGTACACAAGTTTAAACCCGCAGGCGGGAGTCTAGAACACCCCACTTATTTTCATTTGGGCAGTCAGGTAAAATTAACTCTCAAATAAAGGTTCCCAAAGCTAAGTACATCGGTCCATTTTCCCCGATGAGGGTGGCTGGCACTACTTTGTTGTTCGCACCTTGAAAGAATAGTTTTTTGAGACCTGGGAAAGTGATTTCAGTGTATGAGGCATAGCGATGGCACTATAAATGTCCCAGGTTGGTATACGCCGTTATGGCTTTCACCATACATGGAGTAATCTCATAGCTCACATAACCACTAAGATACATAAACGTTTCGGCTACTTCTAATGGCTCACCACTAAGAATGAGAATGCTCCTGTCAGTCTTATACAAGTACTTAGCATTTAGAAGGTGAAAAATACATATCATACTCATGGACACTGATTTTCAACTGAATAAGTACATATTGCATAGCTTAAGTATCATCACACAGTAAGGTAATATTATCCACATACGCAAAGTTGAAAAGTCTTTCCCAGTGTAACAGATCCACACCGCCACTACCTGATCCTATCAAAGCTATTTTCAAAATTTCATCGATTACAAAGTTGAGTAGAGGTTCTTTTTAGACTTCCTCCTCATTAGATGAACCTGTCTTTACCGTCCATGGAGTACAGGACAGTCAGATCGATGTTATTGTATGAGCAGATCAGTTGAAATGTTCCTCGAATAACTCTATTATTCGTCTACGATGTTGCTGATTGGCGCCCTATCAGCTTCACAGTTTGTTTCACATACCAAACTTCTTTTGCGAGTGGCTCGAATCAGTTGAAAGAGCCTAAGGGAGTTACGGGGTGTAGCTGATGTTTATATCTTGCTAGCACGCCCTGATCGCTAGACTTCCTGGTCCTTACATAAGCTCTTCATAATATCTTTACTTAAGAATAACTCGCAGTTACCCGAGACAGACCATCATACCTCGAGAGTTGAAAGGATTACAGACTTCCATTGCTTATTAGCCGGACGTCTCGAAAAGCTTTAAGAGACAAAACCTTCCATTTTTACAGCATTAGCCGAACGTATCCAGTACTCATCTACATATGTTGATGTACTGACTACATGACATCAACTAAATTTAGTTTGATATTTGATTGTAATAGAAACTACAGCCTAATTAGTCATTTTATTCAGTCTGGGATGAGACGTCCGCTGGCCACTAAAATGTAAGATTAGCTTGGCACAAAGCAAATCACGTTCACAATTCGGATAAATACTCTGAATGGAACGGCAGTATCATTCCCAAAAACGTCAGCGGGGTGTTCATTCAAAGGGGCGCATATTTCTAAAGGTGAGCATTGAAAGTGTGAATAACATTTTTAATGGTGTGAAATATATTCGATCTACCTTCTGTAGTGAAAGACTTCTCTGAAGCGAACATAATTTGGACATTAACACCTAAACATGTTAAACTGTTACGAAAATGTTTTATATATATAACACTTAAATCCATACTAAAATAAAGTTACCGGCTTTTGATGTATTCAGTCAATTAATATATTGCCGGGATTATTTTGTTGTGGTTATAAACAGCTCATTTAGGCTGAGTTGTCAACGTATCGGATAATCGGGTTTTGGATTTTAAATATGTCGCTAACTTACACCTTTTACTTCTCTGAATCTGTCGAAAAATATATAGTACGCAACTTCAAGGATTAAAATAAGGTTGCGTAGTGACCGAGGGCTTAAAAGACTAATAAGATAAAACCAGGTGTGTAGAAGATAACTATTCTCTTGAGGACTATGAAAAAGGTGAAGAATAAATTGTGAACATCATGGTGATAAATTATGAGAAATAAAAAAACACATCAAGACAAAGTGGTAATAAGCGATTGATTGTGTGAAAACTTAGGTAGTAAAGTCGTGATTTGATGACACCTCGGCGTGAAGCCACGCATATATGACTCAGGTTTGAAGTGATGAATGGAAACAAGGCCATAAAGCAACATTAGATGCAGACCTATGGAAACCAGTAACCAACAGATTCCGACACCATTCGTTTGCTCAGACGCCTGGAGCTAATGCATACCACTGGAGTTACAGTCTTCTAACTCCTCTAGGTGAATCCTCCGTATCTACTAACTCGGTCTAAGCGCCAGCAATCCGCGTCCCATCTTCTTGCTTTGCTGTACTACGGCCACGCCGCGAGAAGGCAATGAGTAGGATTACTCTGGCAGAGGTTACAAGCGCGTAACCATATGAGCATATCTACACAGGAAGATGGCTCTCTGAACTCTGCTGTACCAAACCATTTGGGATGGGGGTAAGACGGTAGACATAAAAATACAACAAGTTTGTATTGGTGTATATTTAATACGTGGAATAAAACCCTCAGGAAACTATTGCGAATCAGACGAACGCAAAAATGAAGGGTGTTTCAGAATCTCTGTTACTATCTGGCCGTGCATTTCCCACAAAAGGACAGCAAAAGTCACTTTTGGGAAAGTTCAAAAGATTATAAGCAATGTAGGAAACAGAACATAGATAGATTTAACAGGTGAACATTACAACCACTTGAGAAACTACAGATTGGTCCAGTTTACAGGACCATCAAGAACCCTGGGGTCACAATATTAATAAAAACTTTTAGACACATTGCTTAGTTCGAGATCGATTAACAGGTGAGAAAGATGGTGATAAACATAGTAATAGACTTTTGTTATATGAAAAAGCATGTAACTTACCTAGAAATTCCTTTGTCTTTGAATTTACTTTTGAGTTAGTAATCAAGCGGCCTGAACATTCAGAGGAAGACTCATTCGCTGATATTTGGAGCTCCAAAAGGTTCGATTCATGACAGTAGGCAATAAATGCGGTCAGCAGGACAAGAAAATCCGATAATGCTCTGGGTTCTCCAACCATAAGGTCTTCTGGTACAATGTGGTCCAAGTCCACTCCTATTTCTTCAGACAATTTGAATACAATAGCCTCGAAGTTTTCTACACATTCGGTCTCAGCGCGACCACGACGAGGCACTAATAATCATAAGAAACTTGTTGGCAACTTACAAATGTCGCTACCAAATAAGACAACTGCTAAGTCAAAGACGAAAGCAGGAGTAATTTCATGAATACTCTGAATGTAAGGTTCGACGTTAATTAAGGATAGAGCGTTGTTGGCGAGCTGAGTCAAATCTACTAAATAACATTGGAAGATTATTCAAACAGGTATAAAGTATGCCTGATCCACAGTTACAATGTTTTAACCAATCAAACGTCATTACAGCTTAAAAGTCTGACACAAGACAAGCGCGGCGCCTACTCACAAGGACGGTAATCGAGAAGAAGAAAAACAAAGTATTATATAATCTACAAATCGAAATGGGTACGTTAAAACTATAAGATTCTATTATTTTGTCTTCGATAGAAAAGTAATGGATCGCTTTTTAAGCTCTATCCATGTCAACTAACTCCATCGGTCTCAACCGAAGCAGATAATCTCACTTTTGCTTCATTTTCTGAGTCTAAATGATCTGGGTATCGGCAATCTGTGTTAATCCGAACGTTTGAGATCCTTCAGGAGAACGTATTTGGCCTTGAGCACAATAACAGATAGGCTTCGATTAAGCATCAATTTCAGAATTTCATTTGTTATATAGTAGTTTAGATTTACATTCTATGTGTCACGTTATGAATGATTTAAACTTCTTTCCTACAATTACTGCAAACCGTGAATGCAAGTTTGAATCATTGCGTTCCCACCCTCTTTGGAATTACATAATTTTGAACGACTTCTTAGTAATTAGTAACCTCGTTCACTCGGAATTATCAACGCAGTGAAAGCCAGAGTTGAATGTAAGTGAGAGCAACTCCTTTACAGTCTGATATTTCGAACTCTAGAGGAGTTTGTAAATCTTTCACTTTATTTGAAGAATGTAGATTCAAACTTCTATGTGAACCGTCGTGCGAAAGTGATGTGTCCAGTAAACCTCTCTCCTACCTGACTACTGTCAACCGCAGTTTCAATCCTACCGGTCTCACGAGTTGGTACAAAGCTTTTTATGCATCGATGCAGCATACAAAGTGTTGTATGAATTTCTTTAAAACCCAAAACTGTACCATCGTTAAAAATGACTAAAAGCCGCTTCCTTAAATTGGATCCATTTGTCCTCCAACTTTGATGAATAAACGAACGACTCATTCCCCAACATGAAGATGAATCTTCGATTGTCGATAACCATACTGGTCTAAAACAAAGCTTTCTAGAAGAATTGTTAGGTTCTCAGAACACTCGAACTGTTACTATGTGTGGGTTACTTTCACGTCACATGTCTTTTTCTCTGGTTTTCTGTGTTATACATATCGCTGGTTGCACTATAAATGTTCGTGTCGAAGACAATAAGACCCAGACACAAAATTTGAACGTGGCAACACTTTTTCACGTGGTATATAAATATTCCAACTTGTTCTTGTGTAGGATGCATTATACTGAGATTACCACCCTATTTTGAAGGTTGGGTACATTTTCCCCCGGGTAAATAATTTTGTCGGACACTTAATAGTTAATGCATACCCAAGTGTTTAATAGCTTATCTCACACAAACGAAGGAACCTAAATTCATCTCACAGAGACAACAAAACTCTCCAGTTCTGACAAAAATGGGTAGGTAGACTTAATTCACGATTCAGAATAAGGAAACACGTAAGCTTGATCTCAAATGTTTTGTGGGTATTCCAACAACAGTGAACAGGTTCTCCCCACTGCTAGGTTTCTCAGCCAACACCCTATCTCCATTCCTCAGGATTCCAATTGCAGTAACTGCCAAAAAAAGTTTCCTCATTCTTTAGCATCAACCCACCACACAAAAAACGGTGTACATTAACAGTTATAACAGCTTCTAGTTACGTGCAGTAGATCCTTCTCACTTTCACATTGACGCAAGTAGCTATAACAGAATCTACGAGCTTAACTATCAAGAGTATTTTGCAAATAACAGTACACTCTACATTCAACCTATACCAGATTTTTTTGGTAGACCGCCCTTAGAGACACCTCCATCGAATCATATAGCTCAGGCCATTTCAGATAACATACGGAACATAAACTTGTTTCTCCCGTTCGGTTTTGATTACAGAGTATCCTCACTCTCTCTTCCCGAGTAAACTCTCCAATCAACTGCACTAGCTCATTTGATATAACTGCACCTAACTCTAGCTATCAAAATAACGATCTCTTGAAGGACAACGAACCTCTGACAGCAGAGGTTAAGCTTTGGTATACAACCCTCCCTTGATTATTGCTCTTTTATCTCCTCAAACATGAATACCACAAATAAGATAAGAGTAGAAGATTTTTAAAGAAGTTTCACACGCTGACTGCTAAGACGTTACTTTACTCTGGACTACACAGATAAATGTAGTCACCTCTCCTTAGAAGCGTTGAGGCACCTTCGACTAAGGAACAATGTAATATCTCACTACAAAGCAATACATGAACACTCATTTCTAACATTCTGCCCAACCATGATCCATTACCTAGTTTACAGACTCAGAAACAAGGCATATACACTGTATACTGTGAAGCACCGAAAACCGATGCGTTGTCGGTTTTTTACAGTGAGGTAAACCTTATTATTTAACAGGTCTCCAATAATTATCCGCAACTGTGACACTATCACCAAGTTCAAAAGATTAAAAACCCTGTTACGTGACTCTAAAGAGCCTTATTAACTATTCCCACACACCAGTGAGTAATTTTATTATGGACAACCTAATATCTAGACAGATCATGAATATAATGGATCCCATTGTCATGATTATGAATATAACCAGACGGTAGAACACATGGTCTACATTCTCGTATAATTCTTTAACTATTAGGCATGCTCTTATGCTCCTGCTTCTCACTGTCACAATTCTAATCCGTCTTATGTCTAAAATTGTATTACTCCTCCTAGCAGAGATAGTGTATTCCAACAGTATTTGTAACATGGAGCTCAGATTAAAGCAATATTCATTCATACCACAAAAATATGAAGGCCTAACATTACAAAAATAGGGAGGGTGGGGTAACTGACCAGTAAGCATGATAGTGGGGAGATAACTTAAATTCACTCATGTCTATAGGGTAGAAAATGTTGTTAAATCACCACTACTTATGGTCAAATGGGATGCCATGAACTAATGGCAACAATGCCAAGTATTATGCCAAACTTCTCTTCGACTCATTTCCGTGACTCAGAATTGGTTTCACTTCATACAGAGAAATTCTATTGAAAGCGAAGCAAGACCATTCGCTAAAACTGAATCCTGCCCATGACCCTATAAAATCAATAAAATAAAAATGTGCTGAAATAGCTTTGACAAAAATGGGAGATAGACATTTGTGCATCGGAATACCTTTATGTGCTATATTTTAAAACTATTTGTATTCTTACACTTTCAGCTTCTTTTGAACTACCTCCAATTGTACAGTTCTTTGTCCATTAACGCCATACTTCCGCTTGTTTTCTTTAACCTATTATAATGCTTTTGCTTAAAAAGTACTTGAATAAAAGAGAGTTAGATTAAATAATCATACCTTAACTATTCCTTCGCAATGGACTCGACTTCAATAAGCATGAATATTGTCTGCTCTACTTCTTGTCCTTTTTTTTCTTACCCTCTTTTTCACTCCCCTCAAGATATGCCACCGAAAACATGTAAGGAACGGGTGACTTCGTCCTGTGTCATCATTAATGCCTCCGATGTTCTGTAGGGATATAAAGTCACGGTTTCTAGAAGCTCTCAACTTTACGTGGATTTATTCTCGATTATCAGTTGCACGTCACAACATACTGACAAAACGAGTCTTACTAATATTATTTACACTCATATGTGAAATTTTATTCCCCATAATTCTATGACCGTTGTACCTTACAAAATATCAACATGGGTAGCCCTTTACAGTGAAGAATGTATCTTCTGTAACTATTTGTTCTTGCCTGTAAATCGGCATGCCCCATGCTACAGACTGTTACTTGAGAATAAATTGTTATTATTCTATTCAGTTGGGATGTTTGTATGTATACTTATTAAAAAACACGCGTACACGTGTTCGACACTCACGCTGACATTTTAATTTCGAGAACAACTGTAAAAAGTGAAATCCCAGAGAAGAATTCGGTGAATTTAGATTTCTGAGTTCGTAGATCCGTATTTTTCACCAGCTGACTCCGAGGTAGGAAAACATTGACAAGTGCTGCTGAACGTGGCGAGCTATTAGAAGACTGTTCACCTATAGGACACTCGTCAGACTAAAATTTCCGGCTGTTAAAGTCTTAACATTCTTACTATCCCTTTAGAGAGCTGTAACGGCAAGTAAATCTGTAAAACAACTAGCTTTTGTAAGTCTTCGACATAGATGCTGACTCCATTTGTTCTGTAGTAGCATTGGTTCCAACCCAAATGACTCTGGAAACTGAATATATAATTCTTGAGGTTATTTGCATTCAGCATGTAATATTTCAAGTAGGCTGGTAATATAAAACGCGGGAACAAATAATTAAAGTGGCATGGCTCGGTAATGCAGGCAAGGTCATTCTATATAACCTCTTGCTTTTTGTACCATACATACTACTCTCTTCTAGGCCCAAATGTGTTCATCATAAGTGCTATACGTCATATTGCTGATTGTCACGATAAGACGAGTCGATGTAGAGAACGATATGACTTCTGCGTAAGATCCTATAAATTAGGTAGTCGCATTATGACAAACCTACAGTTTTGTGATTAGATCTATTATTATATGAACAAAGACAAATATACCAATACCGAATTGGTTCATAAGTCGGCCGTTTTACCGAACACAGTCCTAGCTGAAGGCACTCGACTGAACATCCGCATCAGATAACTTTCGGACGCGTCGTTACGCGCAGCTCATATGACAAATAGTCAGCTTTCATTTTACATAACTAGATACTCTGACTATCCTGCAATATTTCCACTTTTCCTCATTCCCGGCCTCCAGGCTAACTGGCATCGAGTGTTCGTGTATAGGAAGAGACTTCAGATGACAGTATAGTTAGTCGCTGTCTATCTGTGATATCTTCCAGATGATACTTTGATGGGAAAGTAAGTGGTCAGCTAACAACCGATTGCACTTGAAGACACTTATCATGACTTGCCAAATGATAGACTATTTTCCTAGTTTCTTCAAATGTTCCTAGAGATTTGAACTATACATTTGTCTTGGCATTGATTTCCATATCTTTCAATCATCGACATGTAAGTATCTTTCCGCTATTTGACTCAAAAATAAATGAACAGGTAGGTAATAACTCAATATCGG